GGACTTGGGACGAGGGTGGAGGAAATCTGAGGGCTTTGAAATCTGATTTTTCTGTTTCTTCAGCCGATGGCGTGCGTGTGTCCAGGGCATCTCTGCTCTCGGTTTTCGTGAAGGTCAGCAAGGCTTTGCGCGGTGGGATCTGATCCCACAGAGGTCACGCTTTGTTTCTGCTCGAGGGTAAAACGGGGCATTTTGTTGTTCATCTTGGTGGTGGGTGAGTTATCTGCAATGTTTGGTCTCCCGGAAAAACTAAGTAGGAGAGATGAGTACTTGGTGCGAGGTGAGGAGCTTGGGCCAGGGACCCCCTGGATGTGGCTCTCAATGTAAAAAGCATTTGCAGTTTAATATCTTTACCTGATAATGTGTCAGCTGTAGCTGCAAAGACACACGGCTTATAGAAAGCAATGTAAGATTTGGCAATTGCAATGTGATGGAGAATATTTTGGAGAAATGTTTAGAGGAGGAAGGTTAGAAATACTCAAGACGGGGTGGTGGATATATGCTTTTATTCCAGGACGCAGGGAGGCTGAGGCAGGAGGATTGCACGGTAACACTACACTTAAAATTTAAAATAAACTGGTTGGATGATAGTGCAGTGATTGACTGACTCTGTGACCTGCGAAGCAGCCACACCAGACACGGGCTCTGCCACGCTGGACCCTGGACCTCAGCCTGCAGGACGGACCCTGAGGTCCTCCCAGCATGCGGGAGGCTGAGGCAGGAGGATCCCCGAGTTTGATGTCAGCCCGGAGTGCACAGCATCTCTGGCTCTCTGCCCCGTCTCCAAACACCCGCCTCCCCGTTCCCCATCCCAGGCTTCTTCCGTTTCGCCCCTTCTATGTCCACCCTGGGCTGCTCCACACGACGCCGCCAGGCTGAAATTTCCGCTCCTGATTTATTTCACGCTAGCACGAGGCACCAACATCTCCCCACATTCCTGTGAGTCACCCGATGTCATTTTTACAGCTGCATACTATTCCACCAGGAAGCCAGGACCCGTCTGCTGTGCCTCTTCCTCTGTGGCGGGGCGGCCAGGTCAGTTCCAGAACTAAACCAGGGTGGCAGAGGTCACGGCGGGTCTCAAGCTCCTGGCTGCTTCTCCACGGCCCGGCCAGGTCCTGAAGTTTAAAGCCTGACTTTTCATACTGTTTCCCAGGGCTGCTGGCGAAGGGTTCTAACAACAACCATGTTCCCGCTCTAGCGAGCACCCTCCAGAATTAACACTAAAAATTCCATGTCAGCCAGCTCTTCTGAGCTCGCCAAGGTATGTTCCCAGAGGCGCCATATTACAGTCATCTGTGCACACAACAGCTCGGTCTTGAAGGGGCCTCTGTGTCCACCAAGAGAAAAACGGATGACGGGCGTGTGTGGTTCATGCACTGTGGAGTACTATGCTGCCAGGAAGAAGGATATGGTTAAGTCATCAGGGAGAAAACGGATGCATCCTGAGACCATAACGTTAAAACCAAGTGAATCAGACAGGGGAGCTGCACACTTGCGTGGTTTCTCTTCTGTGAGAAACACAATCTCTAAATAAATAGTACAATAAAGACTAGACCACCGGAAGGCGGGAGGTCGAGGTTTGGCAAATGGCTGGGGGTCCATCAAGCGAGCCAGGTAGTGCAGAGGGAGACGCAGGGGGACCCCAGGTGTCCCACGTCCCTGGGCCGACTCCCCTGAAGCTATGCGGTCCGACGCCCTGCAAACACGGACTCAGAAATCTGCAAACAGACACAAAAGACGGAAAACCAGAGCCGGGCCCGAGTGCTTGGCTGGGTTCTCCCTGCCTTGGCCCTTGACTCTCCCGCCTGCCAGGAGGGTGAGGGGGACATTCTGGGCCAGGGGTGCAGGGGTGGGGGATCTGGGGGCCCCGGCCCAGCTCAGGCAGCTCAGGAATGCCGCCAAGATGGGGATCTGGGGAGGGACAGGGTTGCGGCTCCAGGGCAGAGATAAGAGCCCGGCTCCGCTCAGCTCTGGAATTTCCTGCTTCTGCCCGGCCGCTGGGGCCAGGATCGCACAGGGCGCTCGGACAGCAGGGTCTCCTGGGGTGCCCCGAGCCGCTGGGCTGCTGTGACTCCCTCTGGGATCCGTGCTGGCCGGTCCGCACCTTTGGGAGAAGCACCGGGCTGTAAAATGCGCCAAGCTGCTTGCTATAAGGGACAAGTTGTCTCCTGACCCTGAGCTTCTTTTTCCTAATGCAAAAAAAATGTGCATTTGAGAAATCACGGATTCATCGTTTGATGTTTTAAATACACGCCTGGCCCGCAGCCCTTGGTTACCCCTAGCTGGCACGACACACACCATGAAAAGACAATGCATCGATGTTTGCAGATTTCTCACCAAGAGCTGTCTCTGAGATGCGGAAGGTTAGTAACAGCCGGGGGAGGCTGCAAGCCTGCAAGTCAGGCTCGGGAGGCTGAGGCAGGAGGGTCCCCTCGAGGTGGAGGTCAGCCTGGGCTGCAGAATGACCTCAGTGCCAGCAGGACCCCGAGCATCGCACCTCCCTGCACCTAAGAGGCAGCCGGGCTGGTTTTCAGGGGGGTTCTCGGACAGTGAGGTTTATTTTACATTTCTGTATTGCACTAAGCTGAATAAAAATAGTCAGAGACAAAAAAATAGCTTGAGAAATTAGCGTAAGAATTAGTGGAGATTTCCTGGGTGTGGAGACGCCTGCCTGTCATCCCAGGACTCCGGGAGGCTGAGGCGGGCCAGTCTAAAGTCTGACAGCAGCTTGGGCCAGTTAGAGTCTTGCTGAGATCCCATCTCAACAAAAAAGGGAAAAATTTATAGCGGACGGTTAGCAGGTCGCGAGTTGCATTGCCCTGGATGGATTTCCAGGGCAGAGGACCCGGGGAGGGAGGACCAGGCTTAGGAGGACACGCGTCCCCCTGCAGGCACTGACCCCACCCAGCCCGGGCTCATCCTGCCCTGCAGCCTGGGACGCAGCATGCAGACCTAAGTGCCCTCGGAATGCATGATTATTATCTCTATGAATATTATTATTCCTTTATTAGGACAGAGACCGAAGTTCCAGGGCTCAGCTCTGCAGCGCCGGACAGACCGAGCCCCCCGGCTTGTGCACGGAAAGTCATTCGTTGAACGACAGGACAGAGACTGGGGAACTCCAGGTCTCAGAGGCCGCCACAGGCCTGGCTGGGTGTCTGCGTGTGCAGGGCCCTGGCCGGCTTCCCGGGACCAGACTCAAAAGCAAACAAACAGAAAACAAAAATCCCCACGGAAACAGAATCCTCGGAAAAGGAGGAGGCAAAGTCGGTCCCTAACTACGGGATTAGATTTTAGCTGGGTTGCTGGCACTGGCCCGTGAGATCAGTACGTAGGAGGCCGAGGCAGGAGGATGCCCACGAGTCCAAAGCCATCCTGAGCTGCATAGCGAGACCGTGTCTCAGAAACGAGCAAAACCGTCACGGCAAAATCAAACCGGCAGCAAATAAAATTCCGGGGTTCAGTGTGTCCGGAGGCCGGAGGACCCCGGCTCCAACGCTGAGCTGCGGTGATCCCAGGAGCCCAGGCTCAGCTTTTTGGAAACCAAAAGCACCATCATTGCAGGTCTTGAAGACACGCCAGGAAGATGAACCTCCAGAGGGTTAGAGTGAACTTTGTCAAAACCATCCATCCGGAGCATACGGATGACTGCACAAGGATATTATTAATGTGACAGACAGACTGACATTGCGGCTGAGATGAATGCCATACAACTTTGGGTACCAAAAAGTGATCCCAAACCAAAACAAACCAAGACACGTCAGCCACCTGCCGATGGGCCGAGTTTAATTTGCTGCCTGTCTGCCGGGGTGCTGCTCCCTGTGTTATTAAAAGAGACATCGTGCCTGTAAAGTGACTTCTCAAACTGACCCCGGCAGACAGCGGCTGTCTCCTCCTCCCTCAGGGCGCCCTGGGAAGCTGCGTCTGCTCCCCGGTCCTGTATTCCTGGGCGTCTCGATCCCGCGGCCTGGGCTTGGCTGTCCTTCAGGGCAGAAAGTCTCAATTTGTAGGAGGAGGAGATGGAGGAGGAGGAGATGGAGGAGGAGGAGGAGAGGTGGCCAGATTCTGTCCCCCATTTCTCTACTGGAGCCCCCCCTTTTCTTTGCTGCACATCTTGGCGGGACAGACGCTGAGTGAGGGATTTAAAAAGAAAATCCGAGAATCACAGCTCATGCTCTGGTTCGGGGCTTCGTAAAAGATGCCGTAAGAAGTGAATTTTAAAGGAAGAAAAAAAATATTTGAATTGTAAAGCATGCTCAGTCTCCCTTCACTGTCAAACACTACATGCAGCTCAGGAGCTTCAGCCTCCTGCGTTATAAACGGGGATGCAAAGCATTACAATCTCTGTGCAAATCACTCTGGAGATATTTTTTAAAAAATTAAAATAGATATCCCGGTGCTTAGCAGTAGCTCTCCTCCCAATCCCCAAACAGTATTCACCTTACAAAACACACACAAACAGCACAAGCGCAATAGCTACACTCTGCAAACAAACTGGATGCCCCAGGTAAGATAAGTGGGTACAGAAAATGTGGTCTATGTAACCCCAGTGGAATATTACGCAACCATAAAGAAGGAAATCACACCCCTCACAAGAAAATTGAAAGAAACAATCCCCAGGAGAATAAATGCAAAGAGCCAGGTTCCAAAGGTCAGGATCATCTTTTCTTTTATATGAGACACACAAAATATAACAGGGGATTCTAACAGAAGGGAAAATGGGAAGAGGTTTTGGTTCATCACGGTGGCGCACACCTGTCCTGCCAGCCCTCGGGAGGCTGAGGCGGGGAGATCTCCCTGAGATCGAGGCCCCCCCAACCCCCAGGGTACACAGCGAGCTGAAGGCCAGCCCGCTGGCCTCAGGGAGTCCTTGTCTCAAAAAAAAAAAAAAGCAAAACGGAAAAATAAAAAGGCAAATAAGAAATTTGGGGATAGACACATTTATGTCATCTGGTGTTAGGTATGTAAACATATAAAATTCAGAGCAGACCAGAATCTGACATCATAAAAGGTACAAAGTTTTATTCAAGAAACTTGGAATCAGTAGCATTATTACATAAATTAGAAGCAGTCACTTTGTCCTAGGGCATATATATATATATATATATATATAAAATCTGTCTCTATCCGTATATATATATGTACAAATCACAGTGATTTCCGTTGTGTGAGGGCTGAACGGGGTCAGAAACGGGATTTTATTTGCTCCCCTGTTCAATCCCTATTTACCGCTTGTGCCCACGGGGGATCCGGGCAGCCCGGTCCGCTCGCTGTGGACAGAGCCGGGAGGAGACCGAGGCCGCCCCGGTACACAGTGACCCCCGAGGTTTCGGGGCGCGGAGGCAACACGTGACAACCTGCCTGGAGTCCGCTTTGCACGCTGAGACACACACGCTCACACGCATGCACGCACACAGGGAAGGGACCAGAGTTGTGCAAAGCGGATCGTGGACCTCCGGGGTGGAAGGCGGGGACGGGGAGCCGGGGGGCCGGGACACGAGCCGGCGGGGTGCAGGGTGCGGGCTTGTAATCCGGCCGGCCCGGGAGGCTGAGACGGGAGGGTCTCTGCAAGTTCCAGGCCAGCCCGGGCTGCACAGCGAGCTCAAGGCCAGCCCGGGCCACCGGGGGGACCCCGTCTCAGCAAGCTAACAAACAGCAGTGCGGGAAATCAAGGTAAAGGTCTCCCTAGAGCACCCCGATTTGGGACAACCACAGACAGGACCTCCTGGTCTTGTGACGCAGGCTGGTTTCCTCAGATGCAAGACCATAAAGATCTGCAGAGCCGCTTGACACGGGAATGCAATGCTGGGGTCACCCCGCCTCCCACCTGAGCCCCCCCACACCAGCACTGGCCACAGACTGCTCGGAAGGCTCGGGGAGCACGCAAGCCCCCCACATCTCGCCTCCCGGACAGGGGCGAACCCATGAGCAGGCACAGCACGATGCTTTTGTCCCGAATGTTTGTAAGGCAAAAACAAAAGCCAGTAAAGTGGGGGGCAGGTCTGTCTCGGCACTCTGCACCCCAGAAGCTGCAGCCAGGAAGCACTGGGGATTCGGGAATTCGGGGTGAGCTGGGGGGGAGCAGGAGCCCGCGTGCGGCTGTGGCGGGGAGGCCCGTGTGCTGTGTTCTTTGGTTCAGGCTGCCGCTTGCTGTGAGGTGTGCACGTGTGTGCGCGTGTCTGAGTGTGCGTGAGTGTGTGTTTTGCACGGTGGCTGAGGTCGCCCTCCTGCAGAAAAGCCTGCCACCCCGCTAACGTCCCAGAACCACGATGTCCCCCGTGCACGAGGGGCGCAGATCCCACCCGGCCACAGCCTCGAGCCGTGCAGGACGGAGTTTGGGGACGAGGCTGGACCTGACCCCGCTGGCGATGGCCTCATGCAGCTGGACACTAGGTCCAGGCCGGGGCAGGGAGCCACAGGCGGCCCGGGTGGCCTCTGAGCCCAGGACTCCGGGGACCTGCACCGAGCACCCCGGCTGGCTCCCCCGTTCCTGGATTCCTCCTGGCTGTTAATGTGCTTTTTGACAGTTTTCAAACACCCCGCAGGGCAGGCATTTGCATCCTCGACCATCGGCCACTCGGCTTTCTGGCAAAGCATTCTGGGGTACGGGGGCTCAGGCCTCACAATCTGGGGTACCGGGGCTCAGGCCTCACAATCTGGGGTACGGGGGCTCAGGCCTCACAATCTGGGGTACCGGGGCTCAGGCCTCACAATCTGGGGTACGGGGGCTCAGGCCTCACATTCTGGGGTACCGGGGCCCAGGCCCACCTCACATCCACGCCTGGATGCCAAGCCCGGGACCTAAATCTTAAACCCTAACCCCGAAACCCGGAGCCCAGCCTACAAGGCTACCATTCCCCACGGGCAGGAGCTCAGAGCCTGAACCCCAGAGGCAGCTCCGGGGTGCAGCGAATCCTCCGCCATCCCCAGCAAAAGTAAAGACAAACGGACACACAGACAGAGAGACAGACCAAAAAGAAAAAAAAAAACCAAAAACCACAAAACCAAAAACAAACAAAAAAACGAAAAACAAACCAAGAAACAGTTCAAAGACTGCATGCAACTGAGGTTAATTATTCAGTCCAAGGAGACTGGGGTGAGGGATTGGGGGGTTGGGGGTGAGGAATCTAGAGCAAAAAAGCAGCCCCAGAAAATATATGGCAGGAGCTCAGTCCCCAGCAGAGCTTCCCGGGCACCCTGGCTGCAAACTATCTCAGAACCCAGCAGAGGCTCACAAACCCAGCAAACTCCTATGCAAACGACAAAGTCCTTCATGAGAGCCCCGGGGGTGAGGCCTGCATTCTGGAATTGCTCTGCCCTCTACAGCCCTCAGAGGCTCTGCATTTCTCCCTCCAGCACCCAGGCAGCAGACCTCGGCTCACCACAGCACGGGCCCTGGAGCTCGGAGACAGGCAGAAGGGCTGAAGGCTACACCATCCTCCGTGCTCCTGCCCACAGTTTTTTTTTTTTGCAAAAGTGGGCTTTGAAACCGGGGCCTCTGAAGCCACCGCTAACTCTCCAGGCTTTTGTGCAGTTTTGAAACAGGGTCTTGGGAGATCACCAGGGAGCCTGGGGTGCTCCAGACCAGCCTGAGGGACACAGGGAGCTCCAGGCAAGGGTTCAAGGACACAGGAGCCAGCTCTTGGCCTGGGTGCAGCCAGGCAGCTGCCGGGTTTCTGGGTGCTGGGCGCCCCCGTCCCGCCCCAGCAGCACCCTGAATGTCCCGAGTGCGTGCAGGTGAGAGCGCGTGCTGTCCCTGCCCTGAGCCCCTTCTGCAGGCCTGGTCAGCGGTTGGGGGTCCTGAAGCTGCCGGGCGAGGACCTGCGTCCATTTCCTGGCTGACCGGTGAGGTGACGGGAGTGACTGTTATTTTAATTTTAATGCATAGACGGTCAGCTGGAGACCTGCATCTCCAGGAGTCAGCAGAACCTTCGGGAAAAATCAATCCCGGAGGCTTTGCAAAAAGGCCAGCGTTTACGAAACCGCACGGCTGGTACACACACACGCACTTGCACACGCGTCTGTGTACGGTTCACACTCAGAGGCCGAGAGTCCCAGAGCAGGCCGAGATGCACAGTGTTACCGGTCGGGAGTCTGCAGCCGGCGCGTGGCTTTAGGAATGTGGGCTCCGCAGACTCCAGCCCTGCAGTCCCGCTGTGTGCACGCAGCTGTGTAAACGTGGGGTCCCCCCGCGCCCCGGGGAAGGGCTCCTCCAGTCTGCGTGCGTCTGGTTGCAGCTCGGGTGGCTGAAATCTGCATGTCCCTGGCACAAGATAAGACACGATCAGGTTGGTTTTTGCATAACGGGGTCCACGCCGCACACGTCCTCATCTGGGGGAAGCTTTAAAGCCCCACTTTCTGCCCGTAAGGCGGGAGCCTCGTGGCTCGTGCTTCTGCTCTGCACAGACTCGGTTACTCAGGGTCCCCAACAGTGTGAAGATACCCAGCGACGCCCTGCACCACGGAGCACACCCAGCCGGGCTAGCCATCGGGGAGGCTGAGGCAGGAAGGTCTCGGGTTCAAGCCCAGGCTGGGAAACTCTGCAGCTCAGTGAGAGCCTGCCTCAAATCAAGAGGGGAAAAAGGGGCCACGGATGGAGCTCAGGCCAAAGGCATGGGCTCGACACCCAGAACCACAAGAATCTGGGTGTTCCGAGGCGGAGCCCCTGGATCACAGGGCGTGGACCTCATAAACAGGCGGACTCGCTGATGAGTTCATGATTCAGTGGCAGGAAAGTCAGGACACGAGGAGATTTAACATTTTGCAAAGCACTGCACTGAGCGGGCGGCTGCGGTCTGGTGCTTCGCTGGCCTGAGGTGCTGGGGACTGAAATCCGGGTGTTTTCTGGTCTGCCAGCGTCTGCGGCTGACCTAACACTCAGGACCCCCGAGGAGCTGAGGTCCCTGCACCAGCCGCAGGCTCTGTTCTGACAGATTTTTGCTCCTGCTGCAATGAACTCAAAGCCCAAGCCGTCTGCTGTAAATACCGTACCTCGGCGTGGAGTGGCACTCGCTTGGGGTCTGCTCGTTCCTAAAAACAAAGACTTACCCTGCAGAGCCAGCTCGGCCTCAGAAGTTCTTGAAGGTCTCCAAATCCTTCTCGGTCACGGGAGGAGCAGGGTCCCAGTCGCTCTCGGGGTACGTTTCAAAGTTGGAGGTGTCGCCGTCTCCTGACACCTTGGGGACGATGGGAGGCTGGGGGACCCGGGAAAACAGAGTCACCTTTGGGGAGTATGCACACCTCCACGTGGCTTTGTGTCAATAAAACTTTATTTATAAACACAAGCAAAGGGCCAGATTCCAAGGGCTGGGTGCAGGTTGCTGATTTTTGCATTGTGATGGCTCAGCCTGCGTTGTCAACTGAATTTTCTTTTTTTCTTTTTTTGCCTTTTTGAGACGGGGTCTCTACGCAGTTCAGGCCGGCCTTGAGCTCACTCTGCAGCCAGGCTGGTCTCGAACTCGCAGAGACCCTCCCGCCTCAGCCTCCCCGGTGAGTGCCGGGATGACAGGCGTGAGCCACCGCGCCCGGTTCACCCTGTTTATTTTGTGTCTGGCTGAAGATGCAGCCGGCGACCCTCCCGCCTCAGCCTCCGTGTGTGGCCGGGCACAGACTGACCTTGAGCTTCCTCTGGGGGACGCCGTCCCAGTCCACGGCTCGGAACCAGCGGTGTCGCTTCACGTCTTCCGCTCCGTTCTGCAAAGCAAACAGGGGTGCGGTCAGCTCCCTGCCCGGGCGGTGACCACGCAGGACGCGGGCGCTGGCAGTGCCCGGGGTCACCTGGACTCCAGCTTGGTTCCGGTCTCAGGGCACAGCCGGGCCGAGGACCTCAGCACACGCCTGACGGGGCCGCTGGGCTCCCCGTCCCTCCCTGCTGGGATTTCATTGAGTCCCTCAGAGACCCCGAGACTGGGGGCCACCAAACATCTCGCATTAGTGAGATGCGGGGTCCTGGACCCCCCAGAGTCCTCCCAGGCTCCGGCTGCAGCTCTGGGTCCTCTGGCCTCAGGGTCTTCACCAGTTGGGATCAGAAACCCAGTGACAGCCGCTGCCGAGCGCCATCCAGCAGAAAGGCAGCTGTAAACACCTGAGTCTGGGTCCCCGTCCACCTCGGTCCCCGGAGCTGGCCCCGTAGGACTCTAGGCTCCTCCCCAAGGTCACAGTGACCGGGAAAGGTCAAGGTTTCCAGTCCATTCGGGACATGGAGGCGGCCAGGACGGTGCAGCTAAAGACCCTGAGGACAGAGACTAGGAGAGTGGCCGGGCCTGGGAGGAGCCGGGCAGAGCTGGGGGGACTCTGGGGGACCCCTGACCGTGTGGGTTTTACTCTGACAAAGATTTCCAGCACACCTAACAGCGGGAAATAACAGACACCTCTGTGATGGGTGAATGGGGAAACAGCGTGGAATACTATTTAGTCATCAAAAGGGACGTCATGTCAGACAAGAGTGAACCCCAAAATCCTCCAGGCAGCGGCAGCCCGACTGGAGAGTCAGGTCCACGCGTCTCCACTGACAGGACGGTGAGAACAACGTCTGAGGGCCGGAAAGTCCGTGAGTGGTCTCCCGGGAAGGGGCCAGAAGAAAACACAGCAGCCCGGAACCCGGCATGGATGGGTTTTCCCTGAGGGGCCAAAAATCACTTTTTGAGTCCAGCTTGGTACGAGGAGGCCACATTGTGCCCACGTAAAAAGGACTCAGCCGGGCCTGGTGGCGCACGCCCGTCACCCCAGACTCCGGGAAGCTGAGGCAGGAGCATCTCTGCCAGTTCAGAGCCGGCCCGGGCTGCACAGCGAGACCTTTCTAGGACCACACAGTCCGTACGATCGTCTCCTCCGACACAAACCAGGCAGTCATGAGCAGCAGTCTCCACCCCGCTGCTGCCCCCGGGGTGTCGGTGGGGCGCAGACCCCACCGGAGTCTCGGAACCCCGAATCTAGGCAGAACGATCGACCCGTCCCCTGGCCCTATCCCTGCGAGGCTCAGAAGCCAGAGACGCGTCGCGGCTGAGGGCACGGGGCCGGGAGAACCCACCTTCATGTTCCCCAGCCTCCGGGTCCGGTCCACCACCAGCAGCTTCTTAATGAGGTCCCTGGGCGGGGAAGGAAACGGTCAGACCCATCTCCTCGCCGTGCGTCCGGCCACAGGGGCCCTAAGCCTCCCTCCCTCCCTCTGTCCCTCTGAGGCAGGGCTGGGGTGCACCCGAGTCACACCCCGGCTCTTCATTAGGGAGAAAGCATGCTGATGATGTCTTTGTGTGCAAATCGGTATTTATACACATGCGGAGTACTACGCTGTCATGAAGAAGGATGAAGTTCAGTCGGGTGTGGGTAAATCGAGGCACCTCGAGGCCACGGTGTTAAGGGACATAAACGAGACACCCCAGCCTTGCAGTCACACGGTTTCTCTTCTACAAGCACCCCAAAGTATCAATACAAAGCAAAATAAACTAAAACAGCAGGCAATGGGCAGGTAGGGGACTAGCTCTTTCTCCCGTTAGACGAGGATGCACAGAGGGAGGCCGGGGAGAAAAAAGGGAGGAGAAAGAGAATCAGGGTGCGCTCTGTCCCCCTCCATCCCCACACAGCACTGGAGCCCCGTTTCCTTCAAATAGGGGTCCCCCAAATTTTAACAGCTCAGACAAAGGGCAGGCGAGAGACGTCTTTTCATCAGGGTTTCCCGTGCGTGTTAACTGAACCCAAGACCTCTCCAGGCCGTCTAAGGGGGTCCCCGGGCAGGCTTCACCCCGCCAGAGTGGGTTTGACCCCTCCAGGTTGCGGGAAGGTCTGAAAGCAGTTTTGGTTTTTTGGAGACAGTGTCACCCTGCAGCTCAGGCCGGCCTGGAGCTCACTGTGCAGCCCAGGCTGGTCTTGAACTCACAGAGACCCTCCTGCCTCAGCCTCCCCGGTGAGTGCCGGGATGACAGGCGGGCACCATCGTGTCTTTTTTTTTTTTTAACCAAGAAAATAAAGAATTTATTCCTCCATGAGATGCATTCAGAGCCTTGAGCTCATCTTGCTTAAAAAAAAACAAACTGAGCCTAAGTGATCACAAGCATTCTCTGGACTACCAATTTTACACCACCGATAAAAAAAGTGGTTTTTCTGTACCCCGTTGCCCAACTTTAACGAAGCACAGCTTGGGGGACTCGGAGGCTGAGGCAGGAGGGTCGCGGTGAGTCCGAGCCCAGCCTGGACTGCACAGCAAGAGCCTGTCCGAGAGAGACACAGAAAAAACAAAGAAAAAATCAAGCCATGCAAAGTCCCTGGGGCTGCGTGAATCCCAGCATTACGGGTTCAAGACGGGCACCGACTGAGGAAAGACGGGGGGAACCTGCTGGGGGGTCTGGGCCGGAAGACACTCCGGCCAAGCCGAAGCTCTCTGTGCCCGGAGCCCGGAGCAGACCTCGGGTCACGCGTGCCCGAGGCGGGGACCTGGGCACCTACTTGGCGCTGAAATCCAGATGCCGGGGGAAATCGATTTTGCCCGCGAGGATCTTTTGGTAAATGCCGAAAGGGTTGTCATCGAAAAACGGAGGAAACCTGTCAGGACAAAAAGGAGAGATCTGTTTTTAGTGGGAAGCGAGATAAAACATTTTATTTTTTCTGTGCGCCTGGGTGCGCCGTGGGGCGAGCCTCGGCGTCTACAGCTCTCGGCTTTGGGGTGCCCAGCACCCGGGCGTCTGCCACTTTGCCCTGGACAGGGGTTCTGGGAGGCTCAACGTGGACCCCAAACCTGAGCACAACTAGAAGCCACCAAACCGACTTCAGATGCGCACAGGTCCTCGGGGACCACCCGCTCCTGCCACCCGGCCTGGGGGGGGCACCCACAGCGAGTGGGTGTCGTGGTGACCCCCACGGGCCCCCCTCCAAGATGTGTCCACACCCTGAGCCCCACAGCCCGGACACGATTGCAAACGGAGTCCCCGAGAGGGAATTCGTGGAGGATCTGGAGAGGAAACCTTCCCGCCTCAGCCTCCTCCATGCAATGGTGGCGTCCTCGGGACACAGGAGGGACACGGGCACAGCCGACAAGCCCGTGGAGCCGGGGCTGGGTGTATGCCCGGGGCGTGAGGGACCCCTCGGGATGGGGGTTCGGCCCCCGGCCCTTGGGAGGCTGAGGCAGGAGCATCTCCAGGACTTTGAGTTCAAGGTCAGCACAGCGAGGAGACCCTCCTCACCAGGACCCTGCAGCTCAGCAGCCTCCGCCGGGGCCTGAGGGGTGGGGCGCCCCGAACCCCAGCACCGGGGAGGCTGAGGCGGGAGGGCTGCCAGCTACATCTCAGCCTGGGTAATTGAGTGACTGAATGAGAGACCCTAAAAATCAGGGCTGGGGCAGAGCTCAGGGGGGATTTCCAGTACTGAGTTCAGTCTCCACCAGTACCCCACCATTACTGAACTCCAGTACTGAGTTCAGTCTCCACCAGTACCACCACCACCACGGGGAGCTGAGTGCGATCAGCATTAAACAGAATATGCAATTATGTAACTCTGGGTAATCGTCAGAATATAAAAACCACGGCATGTTATCAGTAAACACGCCACGCTGAGGAAACGGTGCGTTAGTCTCACACCTAGGAAGACATCGTGGCAGCAGAGGCCGATGTCCCCCGGGGCGGGGTGAGACCTGCACCCACAGACTTCACACGTAACGTTAGGTAACTGGGTACTGAGTACACGGAACACAGTCCTCTGAGTACCTGTGAGCACACAGCTGCTCACCAAGCCGCTACCTTCAATTCTCCCCCTGTAACCTTTCACTTAAACCGGGCCACAGGACTTGGGGCGCACTGTGCCTCAGGAGCCCCAGGCTCTTTGCACAGCCCGCATCTGCATGGGCTGTAGGTGCACAGTGCAATTTGCAGAACGCACATCTGCATAACACTATTTGCATGTCCTTTATTTGCATAGTCTGCATTGACTGTTACCCGCCGTCAGATCCTGCATTAGGCATAGGATGCTACATTTGCATTGCTTGCATTTGCATAGCTCCATTTGCATAAACTATATCTGCATAACCCTATTTGCATGTTCCTTATTTGCATAGCCTGCATTGACTTACCCGCCCTCAGGTTCTGCACTAGGCATACGATGCTGTATTTGCATGGCATGTATTTGCATAGCCCCATTTGCATAACCTACATCTGCATGACCCTATTTGCATATTCTTCATTTGCATAGCCTGTATTGACTGTTAGCCGTCTTCAGATCCTGCATTAATTAGGTGTACAATGCTGTATGTGCATAGTATCATTTGCATAACCTTCATCTGCATAACCCTATTTGCATACCCTGTGTTTGCATAGCCTGGACTGATGTAATCAGCGCTGTCACACTGTAACCCTGCACAATGGAACAGCCTTTCCCAGGACGACGGCGCCCTCTGGTGGCCGACAGCAGGCTGCCGGGCAGCAGCTGACTTTGTGCAAAGATTTCTGGGCAGCTCCCCTGACCGCTCTGCCCGTGGGCAGCTGGCTGCACCGGACCTGCCTGGATTCTCCTCTCCTCCCCTCCATCTCTCGGTCCCCTTGTCCTGTGCAAAGGCCCCTCTCTTTCTGTGTCCAGGGCAGTGGGGAGAGGCACCTGGCACCCTGGTCCTCACCAGTCTCCTGGGGACGCGGGTGACCCCTGGCTTCTCCTAACTCGGGGAGACGCCTCCCTGCGGGGCCCCCACCGCGGGCAGGAGCCGCCGCCTACCCTGGTTTGCACGGGGAGGGCCGCCTTCCAGGGGGACCCCGCTCCCAGCCCCTCAGGGACCTGATGGGTACAGCATCACCGTGGCTCAGAGGACTCGGGGAACCCTCAGCCTGAGCCCTACACCAAGCATAAAAAGGCGGGAAGGGGTAGGGGGTCTCTCAGCGCTGGCCTGTCATCCCGGCACTCGGGGAGGCTGAGGCAGGAGGATCTCCGCTAGCTGAGGCCCAGCCCGGGGCGTGTAAGGAGGCGGCCCTGGTCTCACACAGCAGCAGGCGGGCACTCGGGTCCTGCTGACCCCCCGGGCCCGGCGAGCTCAGCGTGGGGACGCAGGTGGCCAGGACGGGTGGACAGAGGGCCGAGGCTCCACAGCCAGGCCCACGGGCCGCGTACTCACCCCGAGAGCATCTCGAAGATGAGGATGCCCAGCGCCCACCAGTCGACGGCCCTGCCGTGGCCCTTGCTCTGGATGACTTCCGGGGCCAGGTACTCGGGGGTCCCGCACAGCGTCCAGGTCCTGCAAGGCAGGGGAGACAGCGGCCAGGGTCAGGGGACAGCGCTCGGCCGGGCCCCGAAAACCCCGCCGGCCCCTCTGAGCACACAGCGGGCGGCTCCGACCCAGCACTCCGGGAGGCTGAGGCGGGAGGGTCTCAGGTCGGAGTCCAGAGGGGCAGGGAGTGAGACCTGGGGTCACAGGGAAACAAAACAGGGGGCCGGAGGAGGCTCGGCGTGGTGCCAACCCCAGCACCAGCGGGAAAGGCACAGGGCAGACCAGGACAGACAGACAGCTGGACAGACAGGCAGACAGACAGATGGGCAGACAGATGAGTAGGCGGATGGATGGAAGGACGGACGGGTGGGTGGTGTTGGTTTCCAGCTCGAGGATGGCTCAGCAAACCACAGACTGAACCCTCCTAAAGCACAAGCCTAGTCACCCTCTGCTCCGTTGAACTCGGGGTGCTCCAGCAACAGAAGAGTGAACAGAACACCCCGAGATCCCGCAGGTGACCTTTCCAGTCACAAGTGAAGTAAATTCTGCCCAGCAGAGATAAAACTCAAACCTGCAGCCCGTGTCCACCAACAGATGACTAAAGGGAGGAACAGTCCACAGGCCGTGGAGTACTACTCTGCCATGAAGAAGGACACGCTAGCAGAACAGGCGCCCCTGGAAACCCGATGCTCAGTGACTCGCACCAGCCACACGAGCCCACATGTGGTCGGGTCCCTTTTGGTGGCTCCAGGGTATGTACCAGGAATTGAACTCAAGACCTTGTGCTTGCCAGGCAGGCACTGTACCACCGAGTGGCATCCCTGACCCCACGCTGGAGGGTTTGGAAGAGAAACCCAAATATAAACAGAGCAAAATCCAAGCAGGCAGCCCGAGCTCGGCCTCTGGCGCCACCTGGAGGCGGACTGTTGGAAAGACAGGGGCTCGCTGTGCATCCAGGCTGGTCTCGAACTCGCAGAGATCCTCCCGCCTCAGCCTCCCCAGTGAGTGCCACCACCAGGCCTGGTTCAAATACGTATTTTCATTAGTGCCACTTTGGGGATCAGTGTGGCGCTCGCGTCCCTGTGTCCAGGACGTGTGCACCGCGGCAAGCTGCCCCCTCGCACCCCCCGCGGCATTCTCTTGCTGTGCGTGACCGAATTTCCCATCTAAGCTCACGCCGACCCTTTTAGCTGCTATCCTCTGAAGAAGACAGTGATTCCTGTCCCGGAAAAGAGGGGGTTTCGGTCAGCCACGTGGGTGCAGAACCTGAGGGTCAACCCTAAAAGAATAGAGTCCCTGCTGGGCATCAGGGTGCCAGGCTGTCAAGCCAGCACTCACTTGGGAGGCTGAGGCAGGAGGGTCCCAAAGGTGAGTCCGGCCTGGGCAATAAAAAATTTACAGAAAGGGGCTGGGGACCGATCCAGGCTATTCCACGCCCCGCTGTACACATGAAGGAAGGAAAGCCAGGCTGCTACGGGGAGGCCTGAGTCCTCACAGCAAGGGTAGCTCAGTTCACAGTCGTCAAGACACAGCAGCAGCCCACAGAGGAGCTGATAATGCGGTAAATGAATGTGACGGAGTAGTACGCGGCCCCGAAGAAGGAAATGCTGGTATTTATGTGCAAATGGATGGATGTGGAGTCCCACGTGGGGAAGAACGTAAGTGAGAACCAAGAAGATGGATGGTATCTGGAATCTAGAACAGAAGAGCAGTGAGGAGAATCATCTCCGAGACCTGCAGGCACCAGGGTTGGACCTGCAGCTTCGCAGCCTGACCGTGAGGTTGGAGAGGAGCCCATCAGCAGCGGTGACCTGTCTTGGGTCAGATACACCAACCCGAGGCGGTGACTGCGTGTGATTTGGTTGCGGGTCCACCACAGGGGCTGGGAGAGGAACATGTGGCGTTTCCACAGCAGGGAGTACTACTGTGCCCTGAAGAAGGATAGCCTTGAGACGTGTGTAGAAAACTGGGTGCAGCTCGAGACCGTGATGTTAAGAGAAACGGAAGAGACGGAGGAGACGCAGCAGCGCGAACGCTGTACAGTGAAAGCCACCAGGAGACGCTGTGCACACGGACCAGGACAGTTTAAAAACAATTAAAATGTAGGTCAGGATGCACTGAAAGGGACGCCCCAGAGTCCTCCCAGCGTCCCGGGCTGCGGTGTGCAGGGCCGGCGCTGCGTCCTCGGCGCAGCAGTAATAACGATGACAATAACAGTAATAACAATAATAATAATAATAGTAATAATGATGATGTTTTGAAAAGACGGGGAGGTGCAGCACCACATCCGGCCGGCAGGGGGCAGCACGGATGCTAACAACTTTCCTGCCCCTGAACCCACCGCCCTTCTGTCATCGATGCAAGCGGTGTCCGGCCCACAAACGGGTAAATAAAGTCCACAGAGCAGATGTGACCGCGGCCGGCAGCTGGGCGAGCTGCATCCCGGGACGGCTGGGGAGGCTGAGGCGGGAGGGTCTCGCCCCCCGGAGCCCGCCTGGCTGCATGGGGAGGCCCTGAGTTAAAAACCCGGGGGCCCCCCACCCTGTGCACCCCAGCCTCCCATGCACCCCCCCACCCCGTGCACCCCCCTTCCCCATGCACCCCCACCCCTTGCACCCCCAGCCCCCCATGCACCCCCCACCCCATGCACCCCACACCCCGTGCACCCCGCACCCGTGCACCCCTCACCCCGTGCACCCCGCACCCCGTGCACCCCCTCCCCCATGCACCCCCCACCCCGTGCACCCCCCTCCCCCGTGCACCCCCCACCCCGTGCATCCCCCTCCCCCGTGCACCCTGCACCCCGTGCACCCCTAGCCCCCCATGTACCCCCCACCCGTGCACCCCCCCCACCCCAGGCACCCCCCTCCCCCGTGCACCCCCACCCCGTGCATCCCCCTCCCCGTGCACCCTGCACCCCGTGCACCCCTAGCCCCCCATGTACCCCCCACCCCGTGCACCCTGCACCCCGTGCACCCCTAGCCCCCCATGTACCCCCCACCCCGTGCACCCCCCCCACCCCAGGCACCCCCCTCCCCCGTGCACTCCCCTCCCCGTGCACCCCCACCCCGTGCACCCCGCACCCCGTGCACCCCACCCCGTGCACCCCCACCCCGTGCACCCCGCACCCCGTGCACCCCACCCCGTGCACCCCCACCCCGTGCACCCCCACCCCGTGACCCCGCACCCCGCGCACCCCCACCCCGTGCACCCCAGCGCCCCACCTGTCCGCCAGCTTCTTGGCGAAGCCGAAGTCGGTGAGCTTGACGTGGCCCAGCCGGTCCAGCAGGATGTTCTCGGGCTTGAGGTCGCGGTAGACCACCGCGCGCGCGTGCAGGTAATCGAGCGCGCACACGATCTCGGCGGCGTAGAAGAGGCCGGCGGCGGCGGGGAAGCGGCCGCGGCTGCGCAGGTAGCTGAAGAGCTCGCCGCCCGGCGCGAACTCCAGCAGCATGTACAGGAAGCGCGCGTCGTGGCCGGTCCAGAACCTGCGGGGGGGGGATGGGGCGTCATGGGGGGCACCGGGATGGGGGGAGCCGTGATGGGGGGGCATCATGATGGGGGGCACCGTGATGGGGGACACCGTGGTGGGGGCCCGGGCACGCCGTGCTCCCAGCGCGCAGGAGGCCGAGGCGGGAGGGTCTCTGCCAGGCGGAGGCGGGCGCAGCGGGCCGGGTGGGTTCCGGGCAGACGGTGGGGGGAGCCGCCTCCCCGGCCCCCTGCTGCAGACATGCTCTGTTTTGGGGTGCAGGTGAACTGAGGCCCCAGGGCACCCCGAGCCACAGGTACCAACTGAGCACCCGCTGAGACCCGGACCTGGACCCGGAGCAGGACCCGAGCAGGACCCAAAAGGCCCAGGCTGGAACCGGGGACCCCAACTCAGAGCTCGGCAGGGCAGAGACTTGGGGGGACGGTGGGGACCCCGGGAGGGGCTTTGCAAGAGCTCAAGGCAGAGCTCGCCTGACGGGCTCCACCAGGGCGCAGACGGCCACCCAGGGGAACCGAGACGGGGCCCCTACCCGGGTCGGAACCAGAACCGGCAGGGACACCGGGCCGTAACCAGAACCGGCAGGGACACCGGGCTGTAAACAGAACCGGCCATGACACCGGGCCTTAACCAGAACCGGCAGGGACACCGGGCCTTAACCAAGCCCGAGGTCTTAACTGAAAATTTAACCAAACCAAGATGTCACCCAAGACTTTAACTGAAACCAACAAGTCACAGGCCTTTAACCCAAAGCAAGGCCTTCATGAAGACTGTCCCCAAAACCCAGACGGCTGCCCAAGCGCTGGCCCAGGCCAAGTCTCAGCCCAGGTGCTCCCAACGCCGAGACCCTCACCAAGCTCGGACCCCAGAGCCGCGGTCTGACCCAGGGCTCCCCGGGACCAGGCTGTACCCGGGCCTGGTACGTCCTCAGCCGGGGCACAGACCCTCACCCGCCTTAGACCAAAGCTGGCCTGGACAGCCCGGAACCGGGCCGGACCTCAGCTGGGGCGGCGCAGGGCGTGGGCGGGGACAGGACCTCAGCTCCCATGGCGCGGGCCCAGTGGACCCAGCAGGGTGGACCCTGACCGGGCACAGCAGGCTGGGGCTGACCAGCCCACTGCCGGCCCTGGCCCTGACCGGCCCACTGCCGTCCCCTGGGCTGGACCGAGGCCAGCACCCTTGCCAAGTCCAGCACCACGGGCTGGACGTCAGCCGAGGCCAGCAGGGTCCAGTAAAGCCACGTTCAGTGCGGGGATGCACACAGGTCAGTTCCAAGGGATCCTGTAGGCGTCCTCGGGGTGGTGGCCGTGCAAAGGGCCTGAGGCAGTGACGCCCCTGGTGCCAAATGCCCGTGGTTTCTGTCTCCTAGCTCGCATCTTGGAAATGGGCGCCCAGAAGACACTGTGGGATATCCCGGCCCGCAGTGCAGACTGTACATCTTACATCGTGGCCGTGCAACGCGTGGGCCTGAAAGCCACGAGATCCGGGTTTCTGATGGTGCCGCAGTCAGACCGTGGAGCTCCCCAGGGGTCCTCCCCTCCCGGACCCCCCACACTGGACGCAGCCCACGCCTTCCCTCCCAGACCCACGCTGCTCGGATTCTACGGCACCAGGGCCCCGCGTTCCCGTGTGTGTCCCAGGAGAATGCGGACCCTCAGTGGGCAGGACCCGGGCTGACCCACGGGGAGAGGACGGGAGGGGGAGGGGAGGTGGGGGAGGGGGAGGGGATGGAGGAGGGGAGGGGGAGGGTAAAGGAGGGGAGGGGAGGGGGGGAGGGGGAGGAAGAGGGGAGGGGGAGGGGATGGAGGAGGGGAGGGGGAGGGTAAAGGAGGGGAGGGGAGGGGGGAGGGGAGGTGGGGGAGGGGAGGGGATGGAGGAGGGGAGGGGGAGGGTAAAAGAGGGGAGGGGAGGGGGGAGGGGAGGTGGGGGAGGGGGAGGGGATGGAGGAGGGGAGGGGGAGGGTAAAGGAGGGGAGGGGGGAGGGGGAGGGGATGGAGGACGGGAGGGGGAGGGGATGGAGGAGGGGAGGGGGAGGGTAAAGGAGGGGAGGGGAGGGGGGAGGGGAGGTGGGGGAGGGGGAGGGGATGGAGGAGGGGAGGGGGAGGGTAAAGGAGGGGAGGGGAGGGGGGGAGGGTGAGGGAGAGGAGGGGTGGGGGGAGGGGAGGGGGGAGGGGAGGTGGGGGAGGGGAGGGGATGGAGGAGGGGAGGGGGGAGGGTAAAGAGGGAGGGGAGGGGGGAGGGGGAGGAGGGGGAAGAGGGAGGGGAGGGGATGGAGGAGGGGAGGGGGAGGGTAAAGGAGGGGAGGGGAGGGGGGAGGGGAGGTGGGGGAGGGGAGGGGATGGAGGAGGGGAGGGGGAGGGTAAAGGAGGGGAGGGGAGGGGGAGGGTGAGGGGATGGAGGACGGGAGGGGGAGGGGAGGGGGGAGGGGAGGTGGGGGAGGGGGAGGGGATGGAGGAGGGGGGGAGAGGACGGGAGGGGGAGGGAGGGGGGAGGGGAGGTGGGGGAGGGGGAGGGGATGGAGGAGGGGAGGGGGAGGGTAAAGGAGGGGAGGGGAGGGGGGGAGGGGGAGGAGGGGGAAGAGGGAGGGGGGATGGAGGAGGGGAGGGGGAGGGTAAAGGAGGGGAGGGGAGGGGGGAGGGGATGGAGGACGGGAGGGGGAGGGGAGGGGGGAGGGGAGGTGGGGGAGGGGGAGGGGATGGAGGAGGGGGGGAGGGTAAAGGAGGGGAGGGGAGGGGGGAGGGGGAGGGAGAGGAGGGGTGGGGGGAGGGGGAAAGGGGAGGGGAGGGGGAGGGTAAAGGAGGGGAGGGGGAGGGTAAAGGAGGGGAGGGGAGGGGGGAGGGGGAGGAGGGGGAAGAGGGGAGGGGGAGGGGATGGAGGAGGGGAGGGGGAGGGTAAAGGTGGGGAGGGGAGGGGGGAGGGGAGGTGGGGGAGGGGGAGGGGATGGAGGAGGGGAGGGGGAGGGTAAAGGAGGGGAGGGGACGGGGGGAGGGGGAGGAGGGGGAAGAGGGGAGGGGGAGGGGATGGAGGAGGGGAGGGGGAGGGTAAAGGAGGGGAGGGGAGGGGGGGAGGGTGAGGGAGAGGAGGGGTGGGGGGAGGGGGAAAGGGGGGAGGGGAGGGGAGGCCGGCTCCGCACTGACCGGCCCGCAGCCCTGACCCCCAGCCGGGTCCCCAGGCCCTGCGGCCCCCACCTCTCCTGCCACACACAGCAATGTAAAATATTGCACGGGAAGGCCAGGGCCCAGCTGCCCACGAGGGCTCTTCTGAGTCCATTTGTCTGTCTGTCTGTTCCTCTCAGAGTCCATCCTTCTGTCTGTCTGTCCTTTGCCTCCATTCATCTGTCTCTCCCTCCTCTGAGTCCATCCGTCTATCTGTCTTCTACATCCATTCATCCGTCTGTCCCTCCTCTACATCCGTCTGTCTGTCTCTCCTCTGAGTCCGTCTGTCTCTCCTGAGTCCGTCTGTCTGTCTCTCCTCTGAGTCCATCCGTCTGTCTGTCTCTCCTCTGCGTCCGTCTGTCTGTCCCTCCTCTGCGTCCATCCGTCTGTCTGTCCGTCTCTCCTCCTGTCCTTCCCTGGTCTTCCTCTGCACCGCGGCCTGAGCCCAGAGCACCGCCCTGCGCGCCACTCACGGCCTCCTGCGTTGTCCATCTGGACACGGAGTTTCACTAAATCCCAAAGTTGTGCCAAGACTCGGCTCAAAGGTGAGACCCTCCCGCCTCAGCCTCCCGCAGCGCTGAGGTTACGAGCCGCTGCGCGTTTGGACTCTTAGACAGGGAGACAATGTCTCAGAGATCTACCCCAGGCCTGAAGTACGGTTCCCTGGCTTTCAGGCGGAGAAGAGGGGAGAGGACCCCGGGGCAGCCAGAGGTAAATAAAGGCACAGGCCCCTCCTCAGGCGAGGAAGAGAGAATCAGACACTTAATGTGACCCGGGAGGCTGAAGCAGGAGGGTCTCAGGTTGGAGCTCAGCTGGGGAAACCCAGTGGCTTGGCCAGACCCTGCCACGAAAGGCGAGAGCAAAAAGGGCAAATGGGGACCCAGTGTGCAGCCCTGGGCACCTTCCCGGTGCCACCAAAATACATATACACGCAAATCAGTGATTGATCAAAAATGTGGTGAACGCTCAATTTAAAAAACAATTATCACAGTAAAAGCCACATGGCCATGGATCCCTGAGTCACCCGGGCCCTGCCCGACTCCTCCCAGGTCCGGCCGCTCTCCCAGCAGCTGTGGGGTCCTCTGTCCTCGGGGTCTTTAGTTGTGCTATCCTGGCTGCCTTCATGTCCCGAATAGGCCCCAAACCTCGACCTTTCCCGGTCACTGTGACCTTAGGGAGGAGCTAGGAGTCGCACGGGGCCAGCTCCGGGGACTGAGGTGGACGGGGACCCAGCGTTGGGTGTTAACGAGCTGCCTTTCTGCTGGACAGAGCTTGGTAGCAGCAGTCACCGGGTTTTTGATCATGCCAAGTAACGACCCTCAGGAAAGAGGACCCCAGAGCTGCCTCAAAAAGCAGCAGGGACAGTGACACGAGTGTGTGCAGAGCCGGGAGGACTCTGAGGGGGAGAAATTGCAACCTGTCTGTTAGTGATTTAAAAATACATATTCACTGTATTTTTTAATCACACAGTGTGTGTCTTCATATAAGCAGCTGAAGGCAAGCGCTCACACTCACGTTCACATCCCCAGAACCGCAATTCACAGGGCCAGAAGGAAAACTCAACGCAAGCATCCACACACTGATAGATACAGACATGAATGTCATGCACACTAACCACATGGTGGAATAGTATACAGCCACAAAAAGCCCAAACTCCGGCATAAGGTGTAACGCGGGAAAAGCATGTGTGCAGGATGCCCAGTGAAATAATTCAGTCACAACAGGACAAGCGCTGCCCAAATCCACTTGTGTGAGGTCCCAACGGTCATCCCAGCACTCGGGAGGCTGAGGCAGGACGATCCCTGGCGAGGTCGAAGCCAGCCAGGGACACAGCGAGATCCTGTGTCCAGCATAAAGATAGAGAGCGCTCGGCACCAGCGCCACGGAGGGCGCACACCTCCCCTCCACGTGACTCTGGGGTCCTGAGCCCTTCAACCTGCTGAGATGGGGTCTCACTAAGCCCGTCACACGTTCCCCAGGCTGCGAGCCATGCCCGGAGACGCTGCCCGGGGACGCTGCCGGGAGACCGCAGTCTTTCCCTCCAGGGGCCACTAGGCCTCCCGCTGCACAAGGACCTTTCATTTCCCGTTCTCAGCTTCTCTCTTGCAGACTTTTCCCCAACAAGAACAACAAAAACCCTCAGAAACACATTTGCCCGTTTTTGAACAAACAACAGGAACCAGAAGTGGACACCAAGGTTGTCTCTGCTGGGCAGCTCTGTCCTTCGCAGGCAACGATGAGAGAGAAAGAAAGGTGACTCATTTTCAAAATTCAAACACACAGAGCAAGAAATAGAGCGACTGCTTGACCAACGCCCACCCGGCTACCAAGGGAAATGGAGGGCGGAGGGCAGTGTGCAAATTAAAACAAAAAAGACAAAAAGTCTGCCGATGCAAATACATTCCTATAATCCCAGCACTTGGGTAGGCTGAGGTAGGAGGATTGCAAGTTTGAAGCCAGCCCGACCGTCTACCTGGGTCAAAACATCACACGTCTAACACGGTCCGGGTTAGGTCTTACGCGCTTTGGAGCGGTGGCAGGACCCTTAAAAACTGGGAGTTAGTGGGTGTAAGTGAGGTCGTTGTGGGCGTGGCTTACCGACAGGAGGTGACGTCATGGGAGAGGTAGTGGCAGAAAGGGGGCTATTGGGGCGTGGCTAGCGAAATGAGGTCATTGTGGGCGTGGCTTAGAGGAGAAAGTGAGCTCATTGGGAGTGCGACTTAGTGGAAGAAAGTAAGGTCACTGGGGCGTGCCTTAGCAGCAGGAAGTAAGCCGTCCTCGTGTAGTTTAGCCAGAGGTCACTGGGGTGTGCTTGGAGGAAGTGAGCTCATGGGGGAACTAGGCAATGGCAGGACATGAGGCCACTGGGGCGTGGCTAAGTGGAAATGAAGTCATTGTGGGCGTGGCCTAGCGGGAGGAAGTAAGCCTTGGGCGTGGCTTAGCAAGGAAGCAAAGCCATCTGGGCGTGGCTTAGTGGAGTGACGTCATTGGGGCGTGCCTTAGCAGGAGGAAGCGAGCTACGTAGGTGTGGCTTAGCGAGAGTGAGGCCATTGGGGGTGTGGCCTAGCAGGAGTGAGGTCATTGTGGGCATGGCCTAGTGGGAAGAATAAAGCCTTGGGCGTGGCTTAGCAGGAGAACGCAAGGTCATCAAGGCGTGGCTTAGTGGACTGAGGTCATTGGGGTGTGGCTTAGCAGGAGTGAGGTCATTGGAGGCGTGGCTTAGTGGGAGGAAGTGTCAGTAGGGCATGGCTTAGCAGGAAAGTAGGCCATCCCAGTGTAGCTTAGCCTGAGTGAGGTCATTGGGGGTGGGCCTTAGGAAGTGGGGTCACGGGGGAGAGAGGTAATGGCGGGAAACAAGGCCACTGGGGGCGTGGCTTAGCAGGAGACTGAGGTCACTGAGGCGTGGCTAAGTGGAAGTGAGGTCTGTGTGTGTGTGGCCTAGCGGGAGTGATGTCATTGAGGCATGGCTTAGCGGGAGGAACTAAGCTACCTGGGTGTGGCTTAGCGGGAGTGAGGTCATGGGGCGTGACTTAGTTGGAGGAAGCGAGGCCATCCAAGTGTGGCTGAGAGGGTGCAAGTCATTGGGGCGTGGCTTAGTGTGGGCGACGTCATCAGGGGGCGTGGCCTAGCAGAAGGAAGTAAGCTGCCTGCATGTGGTTTAGCGGGAGTGAGGTCATTGGAGGCGTGGCTTAGCGGGAGGAAGTAGGCTGCCTGGGCGTGGCCTGGAAGTGACGTCAAGGGGGTGTGGCCCAGTGGGAGGTGGTCAGGCTATTGGGGGCGTGTCCTTCTTTATCCCTAACTTCACGTCCTACCTGCCGTTCTGTGGGCAGCTTTGGTCCACCAAGCCCTGCTGCGTCGATGTTCAGAATCATCGCGGGCCCGACAACAGGGCCAACCAGCTATGGAGTGAAACCTCAAAGACTGTGCGCCACAATCAACCCTTGCTGAGACCTGGAGGACAGTTACAGAGGCGGGCAGCAACCCAGGCGTGATTCCCCAGCCCCGGGCGCCTGGCCATTTCCCGCTATCCCTGCGGTGGGGCCGCTCCGGGGCCCGGAGGTGGAGCCAGAGCCATGTCCAGCGTCGCACAGTGCACAGCACGAGGCCTGCGGGGAGCCACCCGGCCCGGACTCGTCAGCACCGAGGTGGGCAGTGTCCACCCGTCTGCTGACCCATCAGCTGCCCGGCCATCTGCAGGGCAGCCCACACCACCTACTTCTGATGCCTCCACTCATCTGTCTCCCCAGACGTTCATCCAGCCATCCACCCACTGGCTCTTCCATCCAGCTAAGCGATCTGTGTAGATGGAAGCCTCTGTCCATGCATCATCCGTCTACCCATCCGTCCATCCACCCCAACACCAAGCTATGTATCTATCCATCTACCCATCCATCCATCCACCCATCTACCCATCCATCCACCCACCCATCCATCTACCTATCCATCCACCCACCCACCCACCCATCCATCCATCCGTCCATCCGTCCACCCATCCATCCATCCATCCATCCACCCACCCATCCATCTACCTATCCATCCACCCACCCACCCACCCGTCCATCCATCCGTCCATCCGTCCACCCATCCATCCACCCATCCATCCATCCACCCATCCATCCATCCATCCATCCATCCACCCACCCACCCATCCATCCATCCATCCACCCACCCATCCATCCATCCATCCACCCATCCATCCATCCATCCATCCACCCATCCATCCATCCATCCACCCACCCATCCATCTACCTATCCATCCACCCACCCACCCATCCATCCATCCATCCGTCCATCCATCCATCCACCCATCCATCCATCCATCCATCCATCCATCCACCCATCCATCCACCCACCCATCCATCCATCCATCCACCCATCCATCCATCCATCCACCCACCCACCCACCCATCCATCCATCCACCCACCCACCCATCCATCCATCCACCCATCCTACCATCCATCCATCCATCCATCCATCCATTTATCTATCATCTATCCATCTATGCATCCATCCATCCCAACAAGCTATGTATCTATCCACCATCCACCCACCCATCCACCCATCCCGATGATCTGTGTATCCATCCATCCATCTTTCCCCATCTATCTCTTAATAGCTCTCATCTGCCTATCCATGCCATTGATGGACTGGTATATCATCTATTGACCTGTCACCTATCATCTACCTGCCTGCTACCATTACCTATCACCTGTTACCATCTGTCACCTAATTATGGCTCCCTGGCCTGTCCCTCACCCTGCATGCATCTGTCCACTGACCATTTCTGTACCATCTATCTGTCTGTCTATGTTTGCACAGTGTGGAGTACTATGCTGCCAGGAAGAAGCACACCTGACTCGTGCGTGGGAAAACGGGTGTAGCCTGAGACCAGGATGCGAGGTGGAATCAGAGCCTTGCGCTTCACTATCACACGGTTTCTGTTACGTGAGAAACCCTAAATAAAGCGCAAACGCAAGACAGGTAACACGGGAAAACTGCCACCTCCTGCCTCAGCCTCCCAGAGCATGAAGAGGCCAGGAAACAGGGTCAACGTGGGCTGGCTGTACACGGTGGAGTACTACGCTGCCCAGAAAAGGAGACCCAGCCACTGGACGAGCTCAAAGAATGCACAGGTTCCGGGTCACGGAGTGGCCGAGCGCGTGGGCGGTGGGCAGCGGGCACTCACAGCTTGATGACGAAGGGGTGGCTCACTTCGGACAGCACGGCCTTCTCGTTGTGGACATGCTGCTCCTGCTTCAGGCGGATGACGTCCGGGATGCTCATCACCTTGAGCGCGAAGAACTGCGACCCCTTCTTCTCCTTCACCAGGTGGACGCGGCCGAAGGTCCCCGTGCCTGGCCGGGAGGGAAGCGAGGACAGGGGTCAGGGCTGCCGCCCACGGTGCCAGAGACGGAGCCCGCTGACCGACTCACCAGCCAACTGACTGAGTGACCGGCTGACCCATCGAATGACTGCCTGACCGACCCATCGACTGACTGACTGAGCGACTGATCGAACTGAGGAGTTGGGGCTCAACATGGAAGACAAAGGTGGCATCTGCAAAGCTCCCACATGGAACTTGTGATTGTAGACAGAAGTGACAGACACACAGAGACAGAGAGACAGACGGAGGGACAGAGTGCTAAAAGCAAAGTAGAACTTGTGTTCAAACATAAAACAATACTATAGCAAAAACCAGACTGCCACGGCCGCCCCAGAGTCCTCCCGGCTCTGCCCGGCTCCTCCCGGGCCCGCCGCGTCCTGCAGCAGCTCTGGGTTCTCTGTCCTCAGGGTCATTAGTAGCTGGAATCAGAAACCCGGTGACGGCCGCCACCGAGCGCCATCCAGCACAAAGGCAGCGGTCAGCGGGGTGAAGCCCGTGAAACGTGACCTGCTCATCAGTGGCACTGGGCGTGGCACTGGGCGTGGGCTTCTGTGTCGGGGCAACGAGGGAACGGCCTAAGTGTGGGTCGCCAGCTCTGCCCCGCCGTGCTGTGATGCCAGCCCAAAACCAAGATGGCGCCCCAGTCGAGGTTCTGCTGATGTCAGGTGAACCCCAAGTCCGACGGCGGGGTCCTCATGAGAGACAGAAGAGGGGACACGGGCGGGAGGAGAAGCAGGGTGCACACGGGGGAGGCTGAGGCAGGAGGGATGCGGCTGCAACCCCGGGCCACCTGGCACCCCGGGAGGAGGCTGAGGCAGGAGGGTCTCCCTCTGCTCCCCTCTGAATTTCTGTGGGGTTCGGTTTCCCCAAGGAGCAGTTTCCGTCCTGCTGGGGTTCGCCTCCTCACTTCTGATGACCCCACAGATCTGAGGGGTTCTGTGCTGTGCTGCAGCCCTCGGAGACCCTCCCGCCTCAGCCTCCCGGGAGCGGGCCGGCAGTCGCCCCTCCGCCCGGCCTCCCCGGGGTAACTCGTCCCCCGCAGGGCGGAGGGTGACTTTCCAGGACCGAGAGGGGACAGCAGGACACTCGGGTTTCCGCGCCCGCCCGCCCGGGAAGCTGCCAGAGCAAGCGGGTCTGACACCGGATCAGCCGCCCGGGTCAGGGTGACACAGGAGGAGCCCAAGCTGGGGGGGGGGGCCGGGCCGTGTGCCCCAAAATACAAGAAAATAAAGCAAAATAAAATAAAATAAAGCAAAATAATACAAAATAAAATAAAGCAGCCGGGCTTGCTGGCGCACGCCAGTCATCCCAGCACTCACCGGGGAGGCTGAGGCAGGAGGGTCCCACTTTGGGAGGTTCGCAGCCGCCCGCCCGGGGAACGCACTGCGTGAGGCTCACAACAGTACTAATAAAAAGCCTCACAGTCCTCCAAAGAGGAGGAAGGGGTTACAGCAGGTGGGCCAGGCACAGACCCACGAAAACTGGCACAAAACCGTAAATCACTGAGAAAGAAGACACAGAAATCCATAGAGAAAAAAATCAACACAGAAACGAACAACACGAGCCCCAGAGCCAGCAGAACAGACAAGAGAAAAAAGAAAAATCCGGGCAGCCCTGAAGCCCGGGGTGGTGGAGACACGCAGGTCATCACGGCACTCGGGAGGCTGAGGCGGGAGGGTGTCCGTGAGCTGCAGCCAGCCTGGATTGCACAGCGAGGCCCTTTATTTACACCCTGGGCTCCTCTCGGAGGAGACACCGTGCAAAGTTGAAGCTCGAGTGTCTGATTTATTTCACTTCACGTCCTGGTCTCAAGCTACACCCGTTTTCCTCGACATGAGTGTGGCGTGTCCTTCTTCAGGGCCGCATAGTACTTCACCGCGGGCTATCTCTGTGTCTGTCTCTGTCTCTCTCAGGGTTGCCCTGTTCCTGCACGACGAGTTCCCTGGCCAATAAAAAGGCCCCTGATGACCCCTCTGAGAGTCCATCTCACGCCAAGAAGGCCAGTTCCACCAAGACCAGGGTAAACAATCAGTGGGCGCCTGGGCGATTTTACCCAGACGGAGAGACGACTTCCTTCTCCTATAACCTGCTGCAGAAATAATTACGGGCTTCTAAGTGGGTCACAGGGGCCTAGGAGGAGGCGGCGGGTCAGTCTGTCTGTCTGTCTGTCTCTCCGGGCGCTGACACAGCCCAGGCCAAATGCACTCATTTGCACTTAGAGCGCCTCAGAGCTGGACTCTAAGGCCACAGCGAGCCCCCCCGACCCGGGAACGCGAGTCCGGGCTGAGGCCGGGCGGGAAAACACGCCCTCGGGCGGGGCCAGCAGCGAGCTGCAGGACGGGAGGCCGAGGCAGGAGGGTCTCCGCAAGGCCCTGCCAGCCTGGGCTGCTTCATCAGCATCCAGATACCCCAGAAGCCTCCCGGGCCGAGCTGCTCCCCAAAATCACACTGGCGGGGCGCCGGGTGGGGGGATCAAGCCAGCAGGAGAAGGAGGGGTGAATTTAAAACCGAGACTCAAGACCCCCCACCCGGGCTGGGTCCTCCTCTCTCCAGGGGGCGCCCCTGAGGGTCACTGATGCTGTAAAGTAAATCGATTGACTTTGCGCCCTGGACCCGCCCTGCAGCAGAGGCAGGAGGGTCTCCGCGGGACCAGGCCGCCCTCCGTGCATGCGCTGGATGCAACACGCAGGCTCCAAGCCGGGGGCTGGACGCCAGCTGGGCATCCACCGAGGGGCACCCTGCGCTGCCCTCTCCCCACTCTTTGCCCCTCAGTCTCTCCCTCCTCCCCTTCCCCTTCCCCTCCCCTCCCCCACGGCTTTGCACCCCAGCCTGGATTCGCAAAGAGCCCGGATTCTGGCTGCAGCTCTGCCCACCTGATCCTTGTTTTTTGTAAAAAAATAAAAATTCCGATTTTCCTTTTAAAATAGCGAGAGTCTCCCTTGATTCTGCAGGCGGGGCTCCCATGTGAGACCCTCCTGCCTCAGCCTCCCCCAGGGCTGGGGTCCCAGGCCCGGGCCACCGTGCCCGGCTTCGGGGCTCTCACTGTAAGCGGAAGGACCACAGGGAAGCTAACCGGCCGGCTGCGCAGTCCCGGGGACGGAATGCATCCAGGGCCTCTGCCGCTTTTTAAAAGTCTGAGGCCAGGTCTGCCTAAGTGGGCCGAGCCGGGCTCTAATTCACAATCCTCCTGCCTCAGTCTCCCAGAGGTGTTTACAGTGGTGTCGCTGGGAACAGCTAAGCCTCAGACTCGGCCTGTGTGTCTCCTCAAGTGAACAGATTCAGAAAATACGTTTACTCCCGTGGAATACTACTCTGCCATGAAAAAGGATAGAGCCGAGTCCCGTGTAGGTGAGCGGAGGCACCTTGAACCCGCACTTCGTGTGTGCTCAGTTTCTCTCACCAGAAAGAAATAAGGGGTCAATTAAGAGAAACAAAAATCCACCAAGTGGCCGAAACGGCGACCCCTCGACTGGGGGGTACTTGGTCACTTTCGAGAGGGCTCAGCACCCTCGGGAGACCCCACCAGTAACCCCGCAGCCCAGGCTGCCCCTCAGTGAGCAAAGCCTTCCCCGCCCTGCAGCCCCTGGGCTCGAGGCCTCTCCGGGTCCCCCAATGCGGATGTCACGAGGCCTCTGGGGTGTCCAGCGCCGGCCACGACAACCCTGCTCTGTCCAGCCGCCCCGAGAGCCCCGCGGCATCGGAATCACCAGGCCACTCGTGAGAAACGCGCTTCTCACCCTGCAGGGATGCGGCCGCCGGGGACCCGCACTGTGGGAGGCTGAGGCAGGAGGATCGCAGGGTGCAGCCCAGCCTCGACGAGCTAAGCAGGCCGGGCCTCCAAATCAAAAAGGAACAGGGGGCAGGGGGCGAGCCAGCACCCCAAAAAGAGGAAGAGCAAAAAAACAAGCCAAGAAAATCAGAGAAAAACAAAAGCAAAGAAAAAATCAGAGCGGAAGCAAACAGAACGAAAATGTCCTTCCCGGTGACCCAGCGGCCCTAATATTCCGTCTGTACGGTGCAGACTTTTAAATGTCCATGATAAGAACGTGAAGTAAACCGGCTGTAGCGTCCACTGCTAACCCCGCAGGCCTCGCTGAGCCCCGGGAGGCCACCTAAGACGCAGGAAATGGCAAACCTTTCTGATTCTAATCCTGCCGTGCAGAGTTTGTCCAGGTAGGACACTGAATTTTTAATAGTCAGCCTACACACACGCCCACAGTGTGCTTTTGTGTATCCGAGGTAGCCGCGCTCCCGGCGGCCCTGCCCAGCCCCGGGGGACCCCAGCCTGGTCCCCGGCCCGCAGGTGGAGGTGGAGCCTCCCTTGAACGGAGCCCAGGAAAAACAGAGGCCGTGGGTCGATGCCAAGGGCGGGGAAGTTTCCACCCAGGGCTTGAGTTTCTACTCTGGGCGGCGGCCCTGCACGGCACAGGTGGCTGGGAGGGAGCTCGGGCTGACCTCCAGGGGGAAAGAGACAGACAGACAGACAGACAAAGCTGGACTGGCACGGGGAGGCTGAGGCAGGAGGGTCGCCCCGATTGCAAGGCCGGCCTGAAGTAAAAGTTGAGGCCGGGTCCCCAGGGCGGGCTTTGAAGGCCTTCCTGTCCCAGACCGAGAGGAACCGGCACGTCCTGCTGGGAGAGGCGGTCAGGGTCAGGGAAGTCCCGGCCCAGGGCCAGGCCCGGCTGTGCCCGCCCGTCCTCATCCCCGCCCTCTGGGTGACAAGGGTCACACAAGTCAGGGTGCACCAGTCAGCACGCGCTCAGGAGGCTGAGGCAGGAGCGTCTCCCGGCCTGGCTGCGGGCAGACCCGGGTCCAAGTCAAACAGAAGAGGAAGAGGAGGAGAAGAACAAATCACAAGTTTGCGGGTGCACATGGTCGGTGCCAGCACACAGAACCCCGAAACCCGAGCGTGGCCCCCCTTTTCTCCTCCCCAATCCCCAGGCGCACCCACCACGGGCTGGATTAACCGTCACACCGTTTTGTTTAAACTTTGAGACTGGAGCGCTCCAAGGTGCTCACTTGTCCGGCCTGAGCTCCAACTTGGGATCTTCCTGCCTCAGCCTCCCAGAGCTGCGATGATGGACAGGCGGGGGCCACGACGCCCAGCCAGCCGCGGCCCACTGGAGCTCAGGCCGGGGCTTGGAGCGTGACTCGTCCTGGGGGAGAGGGGTCCCCCCACATTTGGATGACGCGTGGATGACTGAATAATAAATAAAGATGATAACAGACTGACACACAGACCGACAGAACAGGAGTCAGGCTGATGGTACCAGCCCAACAGGGCGCACAGCGTCTCCAGGCTGCGGTGCCCCTCCCCAGCGTACCCCAATAAGTTTTACGACACAGGCGTGGCGCCGGCACCTGTGTGTAAAAGTGGGGTGTCGGCGTCTCCAAGGGAACCGTCAGAAGCCCAAAGGGATAAACGGGGTGCAACGCTCAGTCCTGCGGGGTCCGAGGTCCCCAAGGGCGCACGGATGGGGTTGGGGGTCCCCCGAGCCCCCCGGTCACTCACCCACGACGGCCAGGGTGTCGAAGTCCTGCGGGCAGTAGGAGGGCGGCGGAGGCGGAGGCGGAGGCGGAGGAGGCGGCGGCGAGGGCGCATCAGGGCCGGGGCGGGAGGCGCGCGCGCCATCTGGGGTCCCCTGCTCCCCAGCCTCTCGGGGTTCCGGGTCCTCCGAGGGTGCCGGGGCCGGGCCGGGCGTCTCCATGGGGCGCGATCGCGGGCTCTGCGGGGCGCAGGCTCCTCGGAGGCGACATCAGCCCTGGCCCCCCATGCGCGTCCCCGCGGAGTCGGGGTGCGCGTCCCCGCGCGGCTGTGGGGACAAAGGCGGGGTGCGCGCCCGGGGCCTCAGCGCAGGAGCAGCGGCAGGAGCGGGGGGCAGCAGCCGGGGCCCTCCGGGGAGCCTCTCCGAGCGCCCTGGGGCGCGCACGGGGGAGGGCGCTGCGCCGGAGATGGCGCTGCCTCGGCCTCCGGAGCGGGGCGCGCGGCGCGGTTGGCGGGGGGCGCGGCGGGGTCGGGGCGGCGGGCGCCCGGGTCGCTGCTCATCCCGCGCTGGCGCCGGGCTCGGGGCTGCGCGCGCCGGACTGGAGAGCCGGGCGCCGGGCGGAAGCGGCCTGGGCGGGGCCGGCGGGACGCGGTCACCGTGCTGGGCGTCGCCGTCGCCATCGCGCCCCGCCTCGGCCCCGGCCTGGAGCGCGAGCGTTTGGAGAGGCCCCGGCATTGCGCGCGGAAGATGCGAGCCCCGCGCGCACGGGGTGCCCCCCCAAAACCGGGGCACTCGGGGGACTCGGAGAGGGCGCGATGTCGGGGCGCCCGGGGGACGCGCGCTTGGCGAGGTCCCGCCCCGCCGGGCTCCGCCTCCCCGCTCTGCGCGCTCGCAGCCTCGGGCTGGGGGTGGCTTTGGAGGCGCCCCGCGGACCCGGGACTTGGAGAGCTCCACGGCGCCCCGCCCCGGAGCCCTAAGTGGCTTTGCGGGTGACCCCAGGGGCGCGGGGACTCGGAGCGGCCGCGCCCCTCCCAGAGGACGCGAGTCCCGGATGTGCAGGCCGCGCCCAGAAACGCAGTGTGGGGTCCCCGGGGAGCTGGAGAGGGCGCGACCCCGCCCCGAAATCACAGGCTGGGGGTGAAGGTCCCGCCCCGGCCGCCACCCGCGGAGCCGGGACGCCGGGGCGGGGACGCGGGGCGCGCGCACTTGGAGAGGCCCCGCCCCACTGCGCCCCGCTGCGCCCCACAGCGCCCCACTGCGCCCCGCCTGCGCCCCACTGCGCCCCGCCTGCGCCCGGAGGCGGAGACTCGGGTTGGGACGTGAGGGGCCCCGCCCGGCACAGCTCCGCCCCCGCCGCCCGCGCTGGCGCCAGGCCCTGGAGCCCCGAGGCCGCCCGGGCGCGCGCGCTGCGCTTGGAGAGTCCCGGCCCCGCCTCCGCCGGCTCCGATTGCTCCGGCGGCTCCGCCCGCGCGCTCCGGCTCCGGGTCTCCACCCCGGGGGCTGCCGGGACGGAAGCCGGCGGTGCGCGCGCTTGGGGAGGCCCCGCTTTGCAGTTTTCCGGCGGAGGAGCTCGAGCTCGGGGACTCCGAGAGCCACCAGGGGACGAGGGTCTTGGAGAGGTCGCCCTAGTGTGCACTTGGACTCCTGGGTGCGCGCCTGGACTCCTGGGTGCGCGCCTGGGCCCGCGTGCGCGCCTGGACTCCTGGGTGCTCATGGACCTTTGGGTGCGCGCCTGGACTCCTGGGTGCCTCCTGGGCCTTTGGGTGCACGCTTGGACTCCTGGTGCTCATGGACCTTTGGGTGCGCGCCTGGACTCCTGGGTGCCTCCTGGAGCTTTGGGTGCGCGCCTGGACTCCTGGGTGCCTCCTGGACCTTTGGGTGCGCGCCTGGACTCCTGGGTGTCTCCTGGACCTTTGGGTGCGCGCCTGGACCCCTGGGTGTCTCCTGGGCCTTTGGGTGCACGCCTGGACTCCTGGGTGCCTTCTGGGCCTTTGGGTGCACGCTTGGACTCCTGGTGCTCATGGACCTTTGGGTGCGCGCCTGGACTCCTGGGTGCCTCCTGGAGCTTTGGGTGCGCGCCTGGACTCCTGGTGCTCATGGACCTTTGGGTGCGCGCCTGGACTCCTGGGTGCCTCCTGGAGCTTTGGGTGCGCGCCTGGACTCCTGGGTGCCTCCTGGACCTTTGGGTGCGCGCCTGGACCCCTGGGTGTCTCCTGGGCCTTTGGGTGCACGCCTGGACTCCTGGGTGCCTTCTGGGCCTTTGGGTGCACGCTTGGACTTCTGGGTGCCTCAAGCACTTTTGGGTGCGCCCCTGGACCCTTGGGTGCGGTCTCCACCCAGTGCCCTCCTGGCGACCTGGGTGGGAGGCGGGTGCAGGCAGGGCGCGGTTTAGAGCGAGGTAAAGTTGCAAAATCTCAAAACTGGAAGCGGGGCTCAGCGCAGCTCCCAAAGCGGGGACCCCCACCCCCACCCCTACCCCCAGAATCCCTAGAGAAGGGGTTGCCAGGCGCCTCAGATACAGAGGTTAAAGTTAACCCGGGTCAGAAGCCCGGAGAACGGCCCGGAAGGCCGAGACAGGAGGATCTCTGAGTTAGTGACTTAGGGAACTGCTGTCTGAGAAAAATAAAATCAGCCGAGGGGATGGGGTGGGGCTGCGAACCCAGCGGAGCGCAGAGACCTCAGGTCCAACCCTGGGACCGGAAAAGAAAAAAAACCTGTAAAAACCCTCAGTTTCCTGGCTTGGTTGTTGATAGAATAATTTGAAATTCTGGGCTTTCCAAAGAGGAACGAGCCTTGCTCGGCAGCGTTCTGGGAACTGAAAACGATTTTAAGAGAACCGCTTTTCAAGGGGAGCGATGCGGGGCGGAGCCCACTAAGGGGGTGCAGAGACTCGGGGTTCCATTTCCCGTGCTGGGGAGCAGGTGAGTCGGACCCAGGGCCCCTTCACCCTGTTTATTTTTTATTTTTATTTTTCTCTTTTTGACACAGGGTCTCGCTGTGCAGTCAGTGAGACTCAGTTTGTAGCGCAGGCTGGCCTGGAACTCGCAGAGATCCTCCTGCCTCAGCCTCCCGGGTGCTGGGATGACGGGCCTGAGCCACCAGGCCCGGTTCACCCGGTTTATTTTCTGTCTGGCTGCAGATGGCGTGCGGGATCCTCCTGCCTCAGCCTCCTCCGGGACAGCCACAGACCGGGCCTGGCTCGTGGCTGGAGGCCCATCCTCTGCAGGCCAGGCCTCACCACCTGGCTCTGCTCTGTCAACCCCCTTGAGAACTGGGGTGAGGCGTCACCCACTTTCGGGGTCCCCTTTTGTGCTTCTCGGCTAAAAGCTTGCTTTCCCTTAATAAATCCCCCTGCTCATAACCACCGTTGTGTCTGGGATTCATTCCTCGATTTTTAGATTTTATTTATTTTATTCTTGGGGACCGGGATTCGAACTCCGGACCCGATGATGCTTGCCGGGCAGGCCCTGTGCCCCTGAGCTGCACCCAGCGCCCCCCACCCGGCCCCCCTTGATTTTGACGACCAGAACCCGGTGCTGGGGACGGCTGGCAGGCCGGGGTCCCCTTGCCCTGTGTCTCTGGAGTCTGAGTTCACGCCCTGAGGGTCACGGTTTGAACAGGAACTGGGCTGGGCTTTGCTGCCTTTGAGATTTCTCATTGACTCTGGGGCCCCTGAGCGGGAGGCCGAGGCAGGAGAGTCTCCAGCCCTGGTTGTGCCCTAGCTACCTTGGAGTTGAGTGACTGAATGACCTCTAGTTCCCCCAAGCTTCCTGTCTGAGGTGTAATTAGACACGCTGAGGCTGGAAAGTACCCTCCGCGGGTGGTTCCCGCTGGGAAGGGCTGTGTACGAGGCCTGGATCCCGGCGCAGCTTCCGCAGTGAGCCTCCTGCAGGGGCCGAGCGTGGGGGAGCACACACAGGAGGCTGAGGCAGGCGGGTCTCTGGGAGTTGGGCTCCCTGGTGAGGTCAGGCCAACGCGGACTGCAGAGTGACGGCGTCACCACGAGTTGGAGGCCAGCCTGGGCTGAGAAGGGAGACCCTGCCTCCAACAACAAAAATGGCAAAATAAAAGAAAATAAAGAACATTGGGTCGAGTTCATTGCTGTGACCTTGAGACGACGAGCTGGGAAATGGGTGTCCATCAAAAAGTCACTCAACTCACATGAAGACATTTTGTTCCTTCCTTCCGTCCTTCCTTCCTTCCTGCCGTGTCCTTCTGTCTCCTCTTCCATTTCCTTTTGTTTATCTTTCTTCTTTTCCTCCCCTGAAGCCGGTCCCTCCCTGCGTGCTTCAGCTTGGCCGAGTCCTCCTGCCTCAGCCTCCCGGTAACTTGTGATGACAACCGGCCTTCCCGCCACCCCAGCTGCTCTGTTTCTGATTTGGGGTGAAGCTCTGGAGTTGTTTTGATGCTTCATCTCACTCCCTTCTTTTTTCCTTTAGCATTTGATTTTTTTTTGAGACAGGGTCTCACCATGTGCGCCAGGCTGGCCTTAAGCTCACGGAGATCCTCCTGCCTCAGCGTCCCAGAGACCCGTGGCTTGTGCTGAGCTTTCGGGCGTGAGAGATAAACAGGAGACCGGAGAGACTGCTTGGGAGGGAGAGAGGACAGAAGATAAAGGAGCAAGAGAGAGCCAGAGGGGAGACGTGAGGGAAACAATATCAGGTCGACTTGGGGTTTCAACAGCAGCATAGGAGCCCGCAGTGAGTAACGAAGCCATCTTGCCGTGGGGAGAAGGCAGCCCTGCCCGGGTTGGATTGGACGAGGCGCCCAGGAGTCCAAGCGTCCGGGTGGACCGAGGAGGTGGCCCTGGAGGACACGGCGGCCAGAAAGCCCTGGAGAGACGCGGAGTGCCCTCAGCGCCTCTGAAACGTGTGCACTGGAAATCTTCGTGCAGGGCAGGTGTGGTGGGCGCTGTGGGTCGTGCAGAGCTCTTCCCCCCTGAGAGGGTGATGCCAGTTTCCGGGATGGGGCTCCCCGTGGCGGGACAAAGCCCTGCACCCCTGCGCTGTGAGGCTCCCTGGTCTCCCGGCTTCCCCTGTGAGAAAACACGAAAATGATCTTTATCCAGCGCGGCTGTGTTCATCGCGGTTGCTGCTGCCTTCAGCACCGGGAGAGATGAGACGGTTCTGTCGGATCCGTAAGGACGCTTCCCGCCTCACGAGGTTGTGTAAATATGGGCAGCACCCGACATAACTGTGCTCGTGTCCCGAAGACTCAGTCTCGTGTGGGGACACGGGACTGTGATTCTCACGCAGACCCACATTGCCGCACCTTTGGTCAGGGCTGCAAAGTTTTAAAGCCCTTTGCTTGGTTTGGAACTGCCTGAGGATGCCCGCCTGTGTGTCAGCCAGCTTGATGGTC